AATTATTTTACCTGGAATCATTCGTCCATCTGTCAAACATGCACCTGGTGCCTTGTCAGGGCAAGTGCTAGATCTAGTGTGAAATGTAGTGACTCCAACATTCTGTAGGTGGAAAGAAGGATCTATGGGATGGCCAAATACTGAACATTTAAAAGGGAGAGTGGATAATTAGAGTTTAAGTTCCAAGATGGGAGATTATGTCTTGTTTATCTCTGTGTTCCCAACACCTGGAACACAACAGGTACTTAGTATTTGCTAAATAAATAAGAGAATAATGGAGAAGGCACTTGAATTGCTAGTGGGGCTTGGGGTTCAGAGCTTGGGTAGGAGGAGACTGAAAAGAGTCAGGAGAGAACAGCCTGAAAGTGGACAGGACTAGTGAGAAAATGCCTGATCAGCCTTGCACCGAAAACAAGACACTTCAAGGAGAAAGCAGGAGGTTGGAGACAGATTTCCTGAGCTCGGATCTAGGCACCACCACTTATTATTATTTTTTTGTTAGCTCTTGGGTATCTGTCAACCAGGGATAATGCTCCTGCCTCTCTCAAAGGGCTGCTGTGAGGATTCAACAAGGTGATACTTATAAACCTTTTGACCAGTGACCAGTAAAGAATCCGGCTAAGTTGACCCATGAGAGTGGCCGGATTTCAGAGTGGGATGATGGACTTGAAGAGAGTCACAAAATCTGAATAGTCATTGTGGTGAAAGGAAAGGGAGCCAACCAGGAATGAATGAAAAGTTGACCAGGCATCTGTGAGAGCTCCACTACTGGTGATGTGACTCTTGGTGATGTGACTAACTAACTCATTTATTCGATTTTTAGTCTTCCTCAGAGACTTTAAGCAAAATGCAAGAGAATGCACAACTGAGTTGAATTTTGGTATTGTTAGGAAAGCTGTTTTGGAAGGTCAATGAGATTATTGGATATGAGACTATAGGGCAGAATATATTCAAAATAGTGAGCCCAGGCCTTAAACTCAAAAGGAAAGCAGTGAAACCAAAAACAACTAAAATTTGAAAGAACTGGGAGGGGTTTGGTGAGTGAAAATCTCCAAGGTCAAACAGCGGCCCTGGGGGAGAGGTAGAAGGGCACGATGTGGTAGACAGAGCAATTTCCAGTGTCCAGAGATGGAGCAGCTCCAGACGACATCCAGCTCAACTTCACACAGTGGTGGGGCAACTGAGCAAATGGAATCAAGGCCATTAATTTTCCCCTTGCTCAACCCAAACCACTCTGTTCCCAAGGGCATCTCATCAAAATGTTCTGTTGGCAAGGAATTCAATAATTGATTAACTGCTCTAGTAAAAACCATTTAACATCCATTATCTCAAAGGATGGGGTGAGTAAAGGCAGGGGGAGGACTGCAAACAGAAATAAAATACACATTAATGCCAGTATATATAGAGTATTGAATAGTTATAGCACATATTTATACTTTAAACATAAACACTGTGTGAGAACTGTTTGACACATAGTGTCCCTTTCAAATCAACCAAAAGTCTTCTTAAATGATAGGTCCTTCCTTGTTATTATCTGGGATGTATGTCCAAAACGCATCTCAAGAAAGTGTTAATCCTTCCCCATTCTTACCCCAGCACCTTCTTTTTTCCACCCCACCTTCAACATATCTGTGTGTGCATATACACACTCCTTCATTACACATAATGTATGGAATTTACTCACTCCAGAAATATGTACCAGGCACTTTACTAGATGCTAGGGCCACAGAAGTTAGAGACATTAGGTCTGTGCTCACATGAAGCTGAAATTCTAAAGGGAGGGGTGACAGTGTACATATGCATAAATAGTATCAGTGAAAATTACTGATGTGATAAAATATTTTATACTGATTTGCATATTAAGTCTATACATTCATAAACTTATCATATTTTATCTTTATATATCCCCAGTATCCTTTAAGAAATTAGGATATGACTGGCAAAAATTATTATCCAATATAGAACTATTAGCAGAACAGAAAATCACCCATTTGTTGATTCTGTTTTTTGGCTCAAGAACTCACATAGAATGTTTGGCTTAACTGTATATGAATCACAAATACATAATAAAGTTTTAAAAGAAGCATGTTTAAAAAGTCCTACCCTCCCTCTCCATTAAGAATCTTACCTTCAAAGCTAGATCTTGTTAAGAGTGCTATTGCCCAGCACTTCTTTCCCAAGACCTGTCAAAATTAAACATCTGGGTCTGAAGTCCTTTAAGAACAATACCACAATGCTTGACTTCTAATCCAGACGCCAGTCTAATTACTAGTGTTCTTTCTTCAAAGAACTAGAGCATAAGAACTTTGTTTAGGCTAATAGAATGATCTATTAGGCTACCCTTGAAAAAGAAAAATGTAACCATTGCCTCCTTGCCTGTAGAATTTCTTAAGATTTTTTAGCATTTATTTCCATAGCCAAGCCAAATGAGAGTGAATATAGATTTTGTTTCTAATCTAGGATCAGGTGAGAGGAAAACAGGGATGTGGGTGTTCGTAAATGTTTTCCCTTTCCCCAACTAGGTTATAGAACCAGCATGTGAGGACCTTGTGGTATAACCAAAAATCCCAACCACCACAGATGAGTAGAGTGTTCTTTGGAAGCCCCAAAAACAAAGCCTCAGTGAACTTCCTGTGAAATTCCAGAGCGAGCACATCTTATTTGCACTTTTATTCATCATTTTTTTAAAGCAACTAAAAACAAGCTTAATGGCAACCAAATTAAAACAGAATGGACAGATTTAATAAGCCCTCTTCATAAATGGAACTTCTGTTGGTATTTCAAGAAAGCCAGGATCAGCCAGGCTATAAGCCTTTGTTCTGGAAGATGCATGTTCATGTCTCCCCTTATTCTAGTTCAGTTTGTCTCAGGCACAAACTGATAAGAATTATCATGAAATACTGATAAAAATTTCAGTGACATCCACAATGTTATCATTTGTGTTTGAAAGTGACTCCTCCTGGAATATTATTCAGATAAAGATAATCGGAGTATGCTTGAGGCATAACTCAGAGTAACCAGTTTGTCACCAGATTTCTACTTCCTTCCCTTTCACATCTATCTCCGCAGTGTGGAATGGACGAAGTTGCCTCTGGTGGGTAGGAATATTCTCTTTCAGCTTTTCAGAGAGTAATCAGGAATCAGAGCTGGAAAAACTGCTTCGGGACCTTTAAAGCCCATTGTATAAACACACAAATGGCATCCATCACTGTTTTATACTGTAGGGAATCTACCCCTTATTTCCATTCCCCCTTCTACTAGACATTTTTCTATATGAGGGCCCTTCTACCTGCTCTCAATCTTCTTCTCAATAATGTGAAACTCTGTGTATAATTTCACACTGAATTCCTCACATTTTAGTTAGTAGTATCCCTCAACCTATCACTGCTTCTGCCACCATGCCTCACAACTCTTCAGACCTCCATGCTGTTCTGTGGTGCACTGTTATGCCTTATGCAGCTAACACCTAAGACGCACCATTCAGAAACGCCTCTCCTCTGGAGAGACAGGCCTAGCCTGGCCCTCCTAGTCTAATCAAACCTTTTGTGTGGAGTATTCAAATATTTAAGCCCTCGAGGAGATGGAAATGTGATATCTGTGGTGAAGCTAAAACCGTAACAGAAAAGAAAGTAGCTCTTCAAATATGTCTCCTGTAAACTTTTACATGCTGTATTATTGACCCAGGATAATCAACTTAATCTATTTTTAAAATATTTTCTTAAAATTTGGTGGCCAAGAGAGCAGACTTTAATGAATTTAGTTTTTTCAGCTTTGTATCTCTAAGCTGGGTAAAGGTAGATTCTTCTGAGTTATTTTGCTATATATTAATCCCTGTGCAGTGCTGCCTCTGCAAAATAATTATTTGTACTCCTGGCTAGGGGATTCTGGTGCACAATAATGATACAGCTAGATCAAATGATTGATAATCAATTCTCTGGACTTTTCTTGAGCACTGAAATCTCTTTCTGTGTTATTTTACAGGATGCAGTAATATACCAGCTGAAAGTAATAAAAAGGGTATTTTTAAATAATAGGCAATGAAAACTAGGACTACATCACTGCATATTAAGTTTCTACATGCAACTGGTTTGTCTTTCAAAATAGTATAACATTAGCTTAATGGACATTTAAGACCTTAGAGTAGTAGGACTTGTTTAAATTCATCTTGATTGCTTTAAAATGCATTTTTTTGTTTTTTAAAATGAACTTCAGTAATTGTCAAAAAGAAAAATGAACTTAAATTATTCATTATGACCTTCAGCCAGAATGAACAGTATTTAATTTGGAGAAAGTATTCTTTCAAAGCCAGTATGTCAAATTACTGACTTCTCTGACTAGAATTTATAATTCAGCATTAAAACAAACTCTGAGTCCCAAGTAACCTTGCTAAAAAGAACTAAACTTTTTCCCTCTAATATACTGAACTGGTATTCTCAATATACTACTCTAGTATTTGGAAAATTATAGCAGTTTACCTGTCTTTGTTTTCTATATAACCATGTTGCTTACACCTAAATGTGTAAATATCATCCACGAGACCTTAATGAAGCCTCTTCAATTACAAAATGAGGCTATGGTCACTCTGCTTTAAAAGCGTGTGCCTCTGTGTACTTGTTCATTCTGTGCCCTCTACTTGGGAAGTAGATGATTCTCACATGTATTTCCTCTTAGAATAATGTGGAGCTCTGTAAAACATTCCCAAGCCCAGGCCATATTCCTGACCAATTAAATCACGTATCTGGGATACAGGCATCAATAGTTTTTCAAAGTCCCTAGGTAATTTCAATATGTTGCCAAATTTGAGAACCACTACCTCAACCAACTTGTTTTTGGTCAAAGTTTTGTTATCCTTCCCATCTCAGTCGACAAGGGATGTAAGAAGGCCTTTCCACCATTCCTCCTGCGTATCTCTACCATGGCAAGCATTATATGAAGTATACTGTAACTGTTTACTTGCATGCCTGTTCCCTCGAAGTATTACGATTCAGGAATATTTTTACCTTTGAATCCCAGAGTCTAACCCTATGCCTGCTGAATGGGTGTATTCAATAAATTCATGGCATGAATAACTTCTTCCTAAGAAAAACAAAAGCAAAATTATAGAGTTATGTTAATATTTACATGCCATGGAAAAAGTAATAGTTTAAGATGCATTAAGGATGATATTTCACTGATGGGCAATGTCTCATATTTAGGAAAACATCTCATCATACAATATAACTTTGATTACCTATATTACCTGCATTCTTTATAGTAATAGGAGCAGAAAAACATTCCCTGGGCTAAGAAATATCTAAAACAACCCATCCTTTTTTAGCTACATTTCCATCTTGAGTGGATTATATGTTGTTTCCCAAAACAATCCTTGCAGAATTTTATGATGTTTTAGGCGTTTATAAATCTGATTTAATAGTTTTAAAGTACTTAGTTTACAAAATGTATTATGAGAGAGTCTATAAAAAATATTCATAGTAAATTTTACTACAGTCTAACTCTAGACAGTAAGCCCAATCTTAAACATATCCTAAAAAAAGCTGTTTAAAGTATTTTGCTCCTTGGATTACCTAATTATTTTATGTTGCAGCAATGTTTCACAATCTAACAATATGTTGTTCTTTATCTGCTAGTTTTTATGCACAAAGCCTGAAAAGAAATCAGATTTAGGAACTGTTTTCCAAGACAGTAATATATTGCTGTTATTTCATTTATCTTTATGTAAGAAATGCTGGATTATCTCATTAGACATCAATTTAAGATCTTACAAGCTAGTGTTCAATACGCACTCATTCTGAATCCTTACAAACGATAAAAATGAAAAAGTGCAATCCTCCACTTTTAAATGCCTACATTGTAACCAACTATTTATCAATTTATAAGTTTATCTATTAATTAAATACAACTAATTTAGAAGGCAGTTATAGAAACATAGTTCTTGCCCTTCTTTCCATAATGGAGTCATGACTTTAAATCGTTAAGTCCAGTATCCTTGGAAACTACTCTGCTTTATCAGATAAACTCTGAATATTATCAATTGTGAAAAGACAAAAGATCACACTGCTCCTAATATTCAGTCCTAATATCATGGTTCCCAAAATGTAAAAGCTGTGAAGACAGCTATTCCAAGTGAACCTAAGTTCTAACGGACAGAAAACTGCATTTCTTTTGCCATGCAAACAAGGAACAGACAGGCATACTTTCACCGCTAGTTTTACATATTTGTGTTTGGATCAAAAGAGCCGGGCAATTTTAAAGTTGGCTTCTGTCAGCATAAATCTGATTTTGGGTAGTGTCCTTCTCAGGTCCTCCTCTGCTTCCTTGTCTCCTCATCCAACTGTCATACTAAGAAACTTACACACCATTACTCCTTTAGTGAGGGGCTCGGTGGGGCGTTACTGCCCCGGCTGGCCAGGGTCACTGGGTCAGCAGTCAACATAAGAAGCCCAGGAGGGTGGCGCTCTGTGGATCGCGGGCCTTAGCGCCAGGTGGAGGCTGTGTTTCTCTCTCCGTCTCCAGTCCCAACAAGAGCAGGCTGACCGGGGTGGCGTAACTCGCCCCTTTCCCCACCCTGACGAGTGAAAAGAGACGAAGAAACCTCCATCTCCTGACTCGATTCTTAGAGCCATAGAAACGTCTTCCACTGGTCCCTTCCGTCACTCGCTGCGCCCCTCCGGCCCCATCCGGAGCGGGCAGATACAATTTCTTAGGGACTACAGGCACTAAAGCTACCGCAGACAGAGGCTGTGTCTACCTGAAGAACCGGAGAGGCAGAGTTAGCGCGGGAGGCTGGGCTCCTCGGAGGCGCCCCCTCCATCCAGTATAAAACCAGCGAGGGCGCGGCGTCCCGAGTGGTGATGGGCACGTGGGTGCGGGACAGGAGGACCGGAGGGAAGCAGGGAGTCACGAAGCCTCCTCCGCTGGGACCGCCTCCTCTGAGTGGCCTCCCCTTAGTCGTTCCGAATTAGTAAGACATTGCTCAGGCCGAACAGCCGCCCCCGGCCAGCGCGACTGAACCCGGCGGGGAGCGTTCCAGGGGAGCGGGGGCCGCGCTTCGGAGAGGCCATTCTGCCCGAAGCAGGGGGAACTGGCAGTGTCCCTTCGCGCCTCCGACTCCGTTGCGCCAGGAAAGGCCTAGATTGCGGCAGTCCACACACAGCATCCATCTGCGGCCCGTCTTCCTCTGCAGCATCCCGGAGGCATGGTACCCTCCGCTTTTTTCCGATCCCGACCCGCGGCACCCCTCCGCGGGATGCTTGGTTGTGTCCGGGGCGGGGCTGACAGGGGCTCCACGTGCAGCCGCGAGCTCCGCGAGGTGCTCTGGCGGATGCACCGCCTCCCTCGTCCCCTCCGGGCGGGTGGGGGCGGAGCTTCAGGGGGCGGAGCTGGGGGCGGGGCGGACGCGGAACGCTCCTCGGGCAGCCCGGGCCCAGAGGCTGAGAGGAGCAGGGCAGGCGCGGCGCCGGCAGGACTGGCTGAGAGCTGACAGAGTTCGACGCCTGGTGCTCCCGACTTTCTTCTTGGTAAGAACAGGAACCCGGCTCCGTAGTGCTTCCTAGCCCGTCCCCTAGTCCCTCGGCTGCGCCCCGGCAGCGCGCTGTGCCCCCTGCCGGCTGGGCGGCGGCGGCTGCTGCTGGACCGGGCTTTGGGAGCGTTTCTGGTAGTCGCGAACTCCAGCCAGGCAGTGTCCTCTTCTCCGCGTCTTTTTTCGCCTCCTTGTTTCCTCGGCTCTGGGCGTCGGGCACCGGGTGGAAAGGTCGCCTCTCCGCGAGTCGGGGCTCGCCCACGCTGGGTTGGGAGGACGGGGCCCCGGGGCAGCCGAGCCGGGCAGGGGCGAAGGCGCGGAGCTCCGGGACGGCCTTTGCGGCGAGGGCGGGAGGCCGGCCGGGCTGTGGGCTGCGCCCCGGGCTTCGAGCACCTAGGTCGTCTCCTCGCTGGTACCCCGCGCCCAGTTCTGGCGCGCCTGTCGGTCGCGCCCTGTCGCCGTGACGGGGCTCCGTGGCAGCCCCGAAACCCAGCATTCCTGGGTGCCGAGCCGCCTGTTGTACGCGCGCCGGGGCCGGACCTCCCGGCTAGGAGAGGCACCGGAGCGCAGTGTCTGCCTCACCGTCCCTGAAAGTGCCTAGTCGGGGTAGCTGGAAATTGAGCAGGGGCTCGGCGGCGCCAGAAGGGGGCCTCGGTGGGATGCGAGTTGGGGGCGCGGCCTGCGGAATTTGGGCTCCTGGAGGTGTTCGCGGCGCGCAGGCCCGACACGGGCAGAGGGGACCACCAGCTTATCCTCGAACAGCGCCAGGACCCGTCAGGTGTGGACAGCTGGGGGCCCACCCGCGTGAGGTCCTCAAGAGTTTATAATAGCACCTCGACTCCCGGGACAGTGTAATCCAATGGTGAGAGCCTTATTCTTAAAGCCATGAATAAATGGAAAGCTGTCAAAATAAGCATTATTTCATGAAGTTGAAATGAAAGCTGGCCGATTATCAGGCTATGTGGTTGTGTAGAGCTAATGTCCAAAGAAACACTAGCCCCTTCACGCCCTTTTCCTGTTTTTTTAGTAAAAATCTGTTTTGCCAGTATTTCCCTGAGGAGCTGTACATTGCCCACAGCGGGGAAGGAAAACTTTTAAGAGTTCTCAGGTTGCTTTTGACTTTAAGCCTGCGCTCTCCAGCTTTGTGCAGACTGTGCGGAAAAAAAGTATCTCTTTGTGGATTTCCCATGTGTGATTCCGCCTCTTCTCTGGGACGCGACGGTGTTTGTTCATTGGTTTTATAAGCATCTATTTAAATTTAGTTTTTGCACGAAATACTCCCCTTTGCCACAGGGTGTAGTTGAGGGATTAGAAACGCTGTTGGAGAAAGCTGCTAGTGGCTTCATTTTCCAAGAATGTAAGTCATTTCCTTTTTGTGATTTCAGAGAGTTGATATTTCACAGCATCAAAACTTTGTGGGGGAAATTTTCCGTAATACTTCTGTCATTAAGAAGGCTTTTGACTTTTGGATTTTTCTTCTTAGAGCAGGGCATAAATTTAGGCCCAGCAATGTTAAAGGAAAGAAGTTTTTCAGAATTTACAGCATTATGAGACTCTTGTAGAATGTAGTCTTAAAAACCACTGAGACCTACAAAGAGTTTGCAGGATAGAGAATGGGGGAGGGGAGAAGACCAGATGAGGGGCAGGAAAACAGATGTGTTTGCTGTTGTCCTTTGTAGTATAAAACTTGTAGCACTTAAGCAATTTCCTTGGGTGTGGTTTTGAAAAATAAAAGTATTATTTAAAAATGAAAATACACCACAATATGAGACAGCTGACATTTGAGAGCTCTTCTAGTATGTTTGTAAATATACTGGATTTATATTTCATATTAAAATGGACCTTTGAGATTATTAGATGAGAAGGGTCCCTCAGGGGATATCTACTATCAAGTTATCACCAGGATATCTTCTGCAGAAAGCAGACTGACTGTAATATGAACTAATCCCACCCTCCACCCCTCACTCCTTTTGAATTGCTTGTAAGAATGCCAGAGATCTTGACACTGGTGGACCACAGTAATCAACAATTCTTGCAGTGCTCAAAACATAAGGGACAAGAAATTTTTCCTTATTTCCACTCTCTCCTTTTTGAGGGGTAATGGGTAAGCTACCAGCCTGAAGTACATAATTTGAACTTGCAAATTTAAGATAACTCCTAGCTGTACAGGAAAACAGTTCAGGCCAGGATGAACTCACTGGGTTTGAGAGCAAAATATCGATATGCTAGGTAATAATTTCTAGCTAGAAGTTCTTTAAAAACTCATTCAACTGGTGTAGATGAATTGTGTGGGAGGAGAGGGATGTACAGCTTTTCTAGTTTCTGGAGTTTGTTTCACTTTTAACTACACTTATAAAGTTTTTGGCTTCCAGAACTTATGATGTAATAGACTGTGTAGCCTTTGTGGCAGATGCTTGAAATGAAAGTTTCAAACACAATTGTTTTTGACCAAACTGTCAAGTTCAGAGTTTAGGGTAAATGAGTCCTGTCTCACAACTAACCTTTTTGATAAAGGAATTCTTTGTAGTTTTCAACTTGGATGTTGCACATTTTGATTTCTAAGACTGTGGGTTTAAAAAAAAATAAAACCTGCAAACAATTATTTTATTACATGAAAGCCAGTACCAAGAAAAGATTAATTCACTCCAGATGTAAAAATGTATGTGAATTTTAGATCTTGGATGATCTCAACAAGTTTTCCCTTTTGTTGATGAGGCTGCCTGGATCCCAGATGGCATTCACAAATTATCCCTTAGGTAGTTTTCTGTGTTCAGAACTAAATTTCACAGGCCCTCTCTAAAGTCAGTTTAATATTGTTTTAAGTCATCAAAAGACATTTATACAGAGATGGATTTTTCCTGTTGTGAATCATACAAACCTCATAAATGCCCTCATTTGGTAAGTAAGAAATGAAGCCTCTTCCTTCGTTAAGTAGGAAAACCAGAGATATCAGTATTGTGTATCCTTATAGACAAAGCTTTGGCCTTCATTTATTCAATTCCAACTTAATGTTTTTAGAGAAAAAAAGTTTTAAGTGTATTTACAGTCTTTAATAGAATCCTGTTGTAATACAGTTTGTGGTTTCTGATGTAGCAGTTGGTCTTTGTGTGATGGTCCTCTACCCTTCCCCACCCACAAGAAACAACTAACAGGAACACTTACAACCTCTACTATTTTTAAATCTGTATTCCCAACACCAGTTATAAAGGTTGTGTGTTGCACATTTGAAATTATATATTTTTAGGAAGCCTGTATAATTATATAATTACCCATTGGGAGTTTGGTTACATTGTGATTGTGTATTAAACAGTTGAGTGTAGGGGTAGAGTAGGAAAAACTTAGTGATGGAATTTTACAAGTGGCAAGATTTTACTTAAAATGTATCTTTCCTAAAACCCACACAAGAAAAACAGTATTGTTGGCCTCTGCAGTTAAACCTTAATATAGGGAGTAGTTGAGGGCTTTTTGAATTGCACATTATCTTCAGGCAGAGGCTTTGGGGGCCTATAAAATAAGTAGAGGCAAGTTAAGGGGATAATTTCAGAGCAAGGAGCAAGTAGAATACTGAGCATTGAATTGCAAGGAAAATCCAGACTTAAAAGGATGAGTAAAACAGGCTGAAGTAGGGAGAACTTTGTATTTAAAAGTGGAAATTAAACAATAGGATCTTTTTAGCTGATTAAAAAGTAATTAGAATTTAGGTACCCTACAAGGTCTGTATACAAGATGAAATAGTGCTGCTAAGTGGTATTTATCCAGGAAACCTGGCCTGCATTCATGTTGAAACTCTAGTATGGTGTTAAATAATGTTTAAGGTCTGGATGGTTATTATTGTGTCCCTCCCCACCCAAAGCCATTTCCCATTTCAAAGACTGAAAACACTTTTTTTGTCTAAGCGCTAGTGATTCTACAAATATTTAACTATTCTCCCAGCATTTGGGAGAACTGTAATTCCTGCCTGTCATCCTGTGGGACCAGAGGGGCTGTACAGTAGTAATGGCTGATGTTATCATACAATTTGGAGAAAAACAAGACATCTGTGCTTCCAATTATCTTATATGATTTAGTGGTGTAATTATGTCTAATGTAAGTTTGTGTAATATCACTTTTTATGTATATCAAATAGAGGAGTCATGCAATATGCCATATCGATTAAAGAGGGAACACTGGGAACGAATGGGAAAGAAATCACTGATCTAAGAGCTGGTTATGTTATTTCAAGAAGAGGAAAATGTGGTGCTGCACCAAAGTCAGATGAATTAAATATAGGCCAAAGGAGAAGACAGTGTTTACTGGAGCTTCCTTAGAGCTGTCTGTAGCACAGCATTTTCTTCAATGCCTTTCCCCATCTGTATGGCCTTATCTAACAGAATTTAAGCTCTAAAGCAGGAAACTAGGTATTTGGTCATAGTCCAGGTCAGTTCATTTAATATGATAATTGGGATAATTGTGACTGGAAGTATCTGTTTTGAATCTCAGTATTCCAAATTATCTTAGAATATTTTCAGATGTTTCTAGTAACTTCATCTTTGTACAAATATATTACAGAACTTTAAACAGTTATGTTTAACTAGTATATAAAATATATAATATTTTATACTAATTTGCAGCCACAGTTTCATGTGAAGGAGGGAATCATAAAAATCAAGCACATTCTAGATAAAGATTTTAGGAAATTAATAAGGTTTTTCACTTACCTTTTGAGGTGGTTCTTTTGTTCACATTAAATGAAGGTAGAATTAATTTGCTCTTTTACAGGAGCACTTCTGTCCAATTTCAGTAGATGGCTTTTTTGGCAGGGAGG